TTTCAGTAGAAAAACATTTGAGACTTCATCACCACACCAAATAAAGAATGAATTAACAGAGAACCGCTGCAGGAAGCGGTGAGGGCTGAGGGAGGCGTTCATCAATTTTTGACGTGATGGGATTGCCATGGAAACTGTAAAGAATGTGAGAAAGTATTCAACTCCGCCGGGAAACGGAAAAATTTCCAAACCTGAGGAACATCATTCAGTCCCCGTCCCCGTCTCGTCGGCCCTGATCGTGATGCAGCCATTCGTTAGTAACATCCCAGTGATGAGACAGTACTTTTGCATAATTATACAGGTGCTAAAAACATTATTTTTGTTTCGGAATAGCTCAATGTAGTACTATATTTACTGGTCAAACAACCTATTCAACTGGCTCTGGACCTATGTCTCTAAACGCAGCCGACGTCAATGACGACGGCAAACTCGACATTATTGTCGCAAACACCCTTTCGAACAATGTCGGCGTTCTCCTCAACATAGGCAACGGCACGTTTACTGCTCAAGCGACCTATTCAACTGGCTCTGGTTCTAGCCCTAACTTTGTGGTAGCAGCCGATGTCAATGGCGACGGCGAACCCGACATTATTGTCGCAAACACCGGTTCGAACAATGTCGGTGTTCTCCTCAACATAGGCAACGGCACGTTTGCTGCTCAAGCGACCTATTCAACTGGCTCTGGTTCTAGCCCTTACTTTATAGTAGTAGCCGATGTCAGTGGCAACGGGAAACCCGACATTATTGTCGCAAACATCGATTCGAACAATGTCGGTGTTCTTTTGAATTCTTGCTGATACACAGACTTTATCCTGTTTATTCCATAACATTTTCAGTAGTTTAAGAGTTTCACCAAAATCTCATTATATTATTTAACAGTCATTTCATGTAAGTTGTGACCGATTCCTGCGATGGGCGCTCAATTGATATCTCCGATTTGACCCATTTTAACGTATGCTATTGAGCCGAATTTCGAGAATTTTTGACACAAGCCGATTGAAAAAGGATTGAATTCTTGATTATATATTGCATTTTTACTGATGGAATGCCAATTTACTCAAAAGGTTTTCAATATTTCTATAAGAAGAGTATGGGTGTGAGTGTGTTTGAATAGCAACCATGGCGTGTTTCGACCTTGTTTAAGGGTCTCATGGGGTAGTTTTATCTGGCATAAGTGTTCCAATGAGTCGAAAATCACATAGATGTTTTTCATGTTGCATTCCTTTGTAGGATGTTTTCTGATTCAAAGGTGAATTGTAAGTGAAAAATATCATTGACGGTTCGTTTATATTAGCATATGGAAAATATTTGGGAATAAATTATGTTGGAAATGGCTGATCGTCACTTTGGAAGTATTTTTGACTGCATCTTTGCAGAGAGTGTCCTGAGCTTACTTGTTTCTAAGAAAAAGCTGATGAGAGTATGGAGGTAATAATTTTATTTTCTGTATTGGCATGATGTGCTAGTTTATTGGAAATTTGAATGATGAGATTATTTTATGATGGTAGTTGTAGGTGTGTAATCATATGTACATTTGTGACGATACTGTTATTGAAAGAGCTAATTTGGCGATGCTTTTGTGTGTCTTAGTTGCAGGTCTGTTTGTTTTTCAGATCTACTGTTACATTTCATATGTTCTTTTCAATTGAGTGATGTTTTATGTATTTATAAATGACAACATACAATTCTAAATCAGTTAAGTTTGTGGCTGGTTAGCGCTGCTTGAGGATTGTGTTTGTTTACCAGTCTCAGGTTGCGTTTTTCTCTGTTGGTCGCTTCTCGTACCTGGAATATGTTTTTTCATCTTGGCCATCAATTTTTGTTTTAAGTTGTGAGTCAGATGAGTTTCAATGATCAGAACAGTATTCATGATCTCTGTTTGATGGAAAGTGCGACTCCACAATTCGTGAGTATGTCGGTGATTGTTTCCGAGTCGTTTTTCATGTCTTTGATGAATGATGAGACGTTTTCTGGTTGTTAATTCGTTGTTATCTACGGGTTTCATAACCTGATTTTGCATATTTTTGTCNGTTTCCATATATTGAAGTTCCACAACGCTCCGTATTTTCTGAACAACTCTGCTGCAATTGAAAGAAAATCAATGCAATTTTTACTGATAATAGTTCTAAAGGGTCTCTATCTATGGTGAAAATTTCAGACAGTTTGCTTTCAATAGTGAGAAATTGCAAACATTGCAATGTCAAAAAGGGTGTGGGTGTGGGTTTAAACAGTCTATATCTATGCTTACACCCAAACCCACAGCCACACCCAAACCTCTTAAATATTCATTTAGTTGTGGCAGCATTCATACAGTGAACAAAATCCGAAAAAATTCTAATTTTCCTACGAATAGCACACCTCACATAAAAAAAATACACTCATGAGCCATTTCTCTCATGTAGATGCGTGAAAATCCCTCAAAATCCCTCTGGAAACCACCTGAAGATTTTCGTAGTGTCTCCATCGAATTCCCCATCGTTTTTAATCTATTGGGTGTTGCTTCCATTATAATATTGGCGAAACTTTCAAAAATCATGAAAACAGTTTTTACAGGTTTCGCACAGTTTTAGGTAAAATCTAATTTTCTCCACGAAGGAAAGTAATTTCGAAAAGCTGCTCGTATACTTTTGAAGAGGAGCCTCTGGCGAATCGGCCCACCAAAAAAATCAATTCTAGCACCTCAGGAAACGGTTTTGAAAGGTTTTTAAAAATTAGGTTTTGGGCTTTGAAAATTGTGCTGCTGGAGATCGTGACGGGCAACTCTTTAGGTCAAGAACAATTCTTAAGATATTTTCTGATTCAGTTTTTCAAGCTGAACAAGAATATGTCCTATTCGAGGATCTGTGTTGATTCAGAAGTTCAGAAATTCAATTTTACAAAAACCATGGAAAACTGAAGGTTTTTGAAAGCCTGAAGTTTTTCTGATTTTTCGAAGTAAAGAAAGCATTGAAATAACTTGAAAAACATATATTCGTGATCGCCGTAAAATTCTCTATCAGCTGAAGTAGAAAAGGCGAAAATTAAAAATTTCACTCGAAGTTCGCCTTGCGCGAACCTTACATTTTTTGATAAAACAAAAGCAAATAGTTTGTTTAATAACTTTTGCTGATACATCTTTGATATATACATCTGGCAACAGGGTTCTGCAGTTCATTCGGTTTCTAATATTATTAATGTGTCTTTCAAATTTAGAGGTAAATATTCAAGAAATTCATTTAATTATTCGTAAGAGAAATAGAACGAGTCTTATTGAGTGAAATAGCCAAATACTACTGGAGAGAAAAAAACTTCTTCAAAGATCTATAATAGCTTATACAGCTTAAATCGTTCCTTGATTAATCTAAGTTTAATAATAATAAAAATGTTAGTAAACCCCCCCCTCATTTTACAAGACCTCCCTGAAGAAAAAGTTTGTCCCACATAATAGAAAACCCCTCTTTAAAATACTTTTTATATGCCATCAATTTTACTGTTATTGAAAGACAAAATAAACTTCCAAATATATCAATAGACACAGAATAAATCGATCTATACTCTGCAAAAAATAGTCTTTTTAAAATCTACATAATCATAAATTAATAATAATCAAATTGATTTTATAGTTCTTGTTTTTCAAGGGTAATACATGAATAATCTTTGAAAATTAACATATTTTATAGAACAAAATTTACTCCATTGAATGGGAATTCTAAATCAATTTGAAGATACATTATGAAATTTAAACAGCGTCTCTAACATTTATCTGTTATCTCAGTAATTATTTTCAGCTATTTTTATTGTTTTTCACTATGCTTTAATCTACAAATCTTCTCCTATGTCTCGTTCAATACAACAAATTATTCTCTATA